CTAGACATCATCAATAGCTATAGCAAGGTAGCAGGATATAAAATCAACATAGAAAAATCATTAGCATTTCTATACACTAACAATGAGCAAACGGAAAAAGAATGTATGAAAACAATTCCATTTACAATAGCCTCAAAAAAAATCAAATACCTAGGTGTAAACCTAACAAAAGATGTGAAAGACCTCTACAAGGAAAACTATACACTTCTGAAGAAAGAGATTGAGGAAGACTATAGAAAGTGGAGAGATCTCCCATGCTCATGGATTGGTAGAATCAACATAGTAAAAATGTCGATACTCCCAAAGTAATCTACATGTTTAATGCAATTCCCATCAAAATTCCAATGACATTCATTAAAGAGATTGAAAAATCTACTGTTAAATTTATATGGAAACACAAGAGGCCACGAATAGCCAAGGCAATACTCAGTCAAAAGAACAATGCAGGAGGTATCACAATACCTGACTTCAAACTATATTACAAAGCAATAACAATAAAAACAGCATGGTACTGGCACAAAAACAGACATGAAGACCAGTGGAACAGAATAGAGGACCAGATATGAAGCCACACAACTATAAGCAACTTATCTTTGACAAAGGAGCTAAAAATATACGATGGAGAAATAGCAGCCTCTTCAACAAAAACTGCTGGGAAAACTGGTTAGCAGTCTGCAAAAAACTGAAACTAGATCCATGTATATCACCCTATACCAAGATTAACTCAAAATGGATCAAGGATCTTAATATCAGACCCCAAACTCTTAAGTTGATACAGAAAGAGTAGGAAATACTCTGGAGTTAGTAGGTATAGGTAAGAACTTTCTCAATGAAACCCCAGCAGCACAGCAACTAAGAGATAGCATAGATAAATGGGACCTCATAAAACTAAAAAGCTTCTGTTCATCAAAAGAAATGGTCTCTAAACTGAAGAGAACACCCACAGAGTGGGAGAAAATATTTGCCAATATACATCAGACAAAGGACTGATAACCAGAATATACAGGGAACTTAAAAAACTAAATTCTCCCAAAACTAATGAACCAATAAAGAAATGGGCAGTGAACTAAACAGAACTTTCTCAAAAGAAGAAATTCAAATGGCCAAAAACACATGAAAAAATGCTCACCATCTCTAGCAATAAAGGAAATGCAAATTAAAACCACACTAAGATTCCACCTCACCCCTGTTAGAATAGCCATCATCAGCAACACCAACAACAGGTGTTGGCGAGGATGCGGGGAAAAAGGAACCCTCTTACACTGTTGGTGGGAATGTAGACTAGTACAACCACTCTGGAAAAAAATTTGGAGGCTACTTAAAAAGCTGACATCGATCTACCATTTGATCCAGCAATACCACTCTTGGGGATATACCCAAAAGACTGTTACTCCAGAGGCACCTGCACATCCATGTTTATTGCGGCACTATTCACAATAGCCAAGTTATGGAAACAGCCAAGATGCCCCACACTGACGAATGGATTAAGAAAATGTGGTATCTATACACAATGGAATTTTATGCAGCCATGAAGAAGAACGAAATGTTATCATTCGCTGGTAAATGGATGGAATTGGAGAACATCATTCTGAGTGAGGTTAGCCTGGCCCAAAAGACCAAAAATCGTATGTTCTCCCTCATATGTGGACATTAGATCAAGGGCAAACACAACAAGGGATTGGACTATGAGCACATGATAAAAGCGAGAGCACACAAGGGAGGGGTGAGGATAGGTAAGACACCTAAAAAACTAGCTAGCATTTGTTGCCCTTAATGCAGAGAAACTAAAGCAGATACCTTAAAGCAACTGAGGCCAATAGGAAAAGGGGACAGGAACTAGAGAAAAGGTTAGATCAAAAAGAATTAACCTAGAAGGTAACACCCACGCACAGGAAATCAATGTGAGTCAATGCCCTGTATAGCTATCCTTATCTCAACCAGCAAAAACCCTTGTTCCTTCCTATTATTGCTTATACTCTCTCTACAACAAAATTAGAGATAAGGGCAAAATAGTTTCTGCTGGGTATTGAGGGGGGGAGGGAGGGGGGAGTGGGTGGTAAGGGAGGGGGTGGGGGCAGGGGGAGAAATGAACCAAGCCTTGTATGCACATATGAATAATAAAAGAAAAAATAATAAATAAATAAAAAATAAAAATGAAAAAAATAAAAAAAAAAAAAAAAAAAAAAGAGTTAGGGACTACTAATAGAATGCTCCAGTCCATATAATACTCCTATTCTCAGTGTCAGGAAGGGACCTAACAAATGGAGGCTAGTCCAGGATCTCCACCTGATCAATGAAGCAGTAGTGCCTCTCCATCCTGTAGTTACAAATCCCTATATGCTTTTAGCCCAAATACCTCCAGGTACTGCTTACTACTCTGTCTTGGACTTAAAGGATACCTTCGTTTGCATTCCCTTACATCCTAAAAGCCAATCTATCTTTGCCTTTGAGGACCCCACACGAAAGGCTGGACAGGTCACCTGGACTGTCCTCCCCCAGGGATTCAGAGACAGCCCTCATCTCTTTGAGTTGGCTCTAACCCAAGACTTGGCAGAATGACAATATCCACAAGTTACTCTGCTACAATATGTAGATGACCTCCTTCTCTTTGGATTGACTGAGCCTGTCATTTCACAAGCCACTGAATCCTTACTAAACTTCTTAGCAAATAGAGGATATAAAATCTCTAAAGAAAAAGCCCAATTGTGTCAGTCTAGGGATACATATTTAGATCTCGTCCTGGAGAAAGAAATGAGGGCTCTAGGAGAAGAAAGAATCCATCCAATCCTGATGTTCCCTCTACCTAAAACTCCAAAGCAATTGAGGGCCTTTTGGGGAATCACAGGATACTGTAGAATTTGGATCCTGCAATATGCAGACCTAGCCAGGCCCTTATAGCAAATCCTTAAGGAAGCACAGAAGGATCCCCAGCCCTTTATTGAATGGGATGACAAGTCAGAAAATGCATTCCGCCGGTTAAAAAAGCCCCTTATGACAGCTCCAGCCCTGGGTCTCTCAGTACAAGACAAGTTTCAATTATATGTCTATGAAAAGGGAAGACTGGCCTTGGGAGTAGTGACTCAGCTCCAGGGCATCACTCCCCAACCAGTAGGCTACTTAAGCAAAGAACTGGATCAGGTAGCCAAGGGATGGCAAGGATGTCTTAGAGCAGTGGCTGCAGTAAGGCTTCTAGTGCCTTAAGCTCAAAAACTTATTCTAAACCACCCCCTAATGGTTTATACCACACACAACCTAGGGGGGAATTTTAAACTCAAAAGGAGAACTTTGGCTATTTGACAGCCGTCTACTTAAATACCAGGCCCAGCTTCTGGGAGGGACAGAAATAACTTTAAGGACCTGTCAGAGCCTAAATCCTACATCCCTTCTACCAGAGGCAGGGGGAAATCCTGAACACTCATGTGAGGAGGTACTTAATGGAAAATTATGCTGCCTGACCTGACTTAACTGATTGGCCCTTAAAAAACCCAGATCTAGAGTTATACACTGATGGTAGTTCCTTTGTGAAAAATGATGTCAGACATGCAGGGTTTGCAGTTGTAACAGAATTTGGCAACCTCAAATAAGATCCTCTTCCTCCTAATACAAGTGCTCAACTGGTAGAATTAGTGGCCCTAACAGAAGCCCTAACACTGTCAAAAGAAGAGAGAGTCAACATCTATATAGATTCTAAGTATGCCTTCCAGATCCTGCATGCTCATGCAGCCATTTGAAAGGAAAAGGGAGGTTGCTCTAATAGTTTTAGGGATAATAGCAATAACTGCAGCCCTAGCTGGAATTAGCTATGGGGTAATTGCCAATCATGTAACTGCAAAAAAACCTAACCAAAGTCGTAATGGACACCTCAGACCAGGTAGGCCTTGCCATTAAGGACATGCAAAGGTCTTTGTCGTCCCTTGCCTGTATGTATGTCATGGACCACCACCTGGCCCTAGATTTTCTTTTGGCTAAACAAGAAGGGGTATGTGCCATGGCCAATACTTCCTGTTGCACAGATATAAACACTTCAGGCATTGTAGAGGAACATGCAGACTATATTCTCCAACAGGCTAAGTGGCTCTGGGAGCAGTCTCTTGAAACTCAGGTTTCTACACAGGTATGGGACCAAATAAAATCCTGGCTCCCCTCCAGGACTTGTTTCCTACCCTTTCTGGGGCCTATAGTTGCTATTACTCTCTTGCTTGTGTTTGGGCCTTGCCCAAACACTTGTCAAGTTTGTTTCTTCCCCCCCTAGAATCCATCAAACTACAAATGCCTCTGATGGAGATGAAAATGACCTACTATCGCGGTCTCTTCAATAACCCCTCTCGTGGTCAGCCCTGATGCTGCTGCGGGCCCCTTCATCACCCCCATAAGCAGGAAGCAGTTACTAAATAGTCTTCATCATCCCTATTCCTAACAGCAGTTAGGGTGGTCACTGAGAGGGGGGACTTGAAGGACTGACCACAGGAGGTCAAGAAGACACTTCTCCTTCCCAGGAACCACCCATCTGCATCTGAAAGGCATCTCCGCCCTCAGGCAATGCACAAAAAGGCTGTAAAACCCAATCCCCACCCTGACCCATGGGACCACAGGTTTCCAGTCCCCCTGTATTCCCCACCATGAAGTCTTTCTCTTCTCTTCTCTTCAAATAAAATCTTTCTGACCTCTGCTGCTGGAGTCCGCCTGTGCTTTCATTCTCAGAGTGGGCTCAAGAACCCTGAGCACCTGAAATTCCTCCGCGTGTCATCTATGCATCAAGAGGGCTGGGGTGTAGCTCCTTGGTAAAGCACTTGCCTAGTGTGTGCAAGGATCTGTGTTCATTCCCCAGCACCACAAAACATAAAAACAAAAAAGAGAAACAGAGAAACAAAGAGAGAAAGACACATACACAGAGAGAAGCAGAGACAGAGAGACACTACTGGGGAAATCTGATACTTCTCAGATATTTGATAATACTAAGACCATTACTAATATTTTAAGTAAGTTAATGGTATCACAGCTACTTTCCTTTTTAGAGATTCTTCTTTTGTAAAATCACTTAAAATATTTGTTGAACAAATGGTAAAATATCCAGGTTTTGCTTTGAAATAATCACACGGGATGGGGTGGTGGAGGGACAGTTGGTGGAGGTAAATATGTAACAAGATTGGATGTATGATGACAATCACTGAAGCAGTTCATAACTAAGCAGAGATTAGGGTTAAGCAGCAGCATGAAGCAAGCACTTTACAATGTGGGACTTTCATTTTCACCCTACCATAGAGGGGCACAGGACATGGGTGGGTGGTCAGAGTGTAGGAAGAAATGGGAAGGAAAGAACAGGAAGGAATGCAATGAAGGCACACTAAGGGATATACAGACTTACCTACAGCAGATAATGCAACAGTAGGTTTCCTTGTGTCCCTGAAATACAAAAATCAGAAGTCAGAGGTCCAATTCACATGCCACCAGTCACCTGGTGCTTTTTCACCCTCTGTACACACTTCTTTCCTATCAGTGGAAACCTGAGTTAGATCTGCTTTGAGGGCCTTAAAAAGAAATGTAAAGAGAGACCTGTTTTCCTCAAGGAGATGAACTTTCTCAGCTACTTCAATTGGATCTGTATCTGTATCTCTCTCTCTCTATCTTTCTCTCTCTCTCTCTCTCTCTCTCTCTCTCTCTCTCTCTCTCTCTCTCTCTGTCTCTGTCTCTACCTTGACAGTATGGTGTTAGAACTCAGATCCCTGCACTTGTCAGGCAGGTGCTCTACCACTTGAGCCAGATCCCTAGCCCCTGAATTCCTAATCATACAGCTGAATCCACAGAAAACAGATTTCATGATTCAGCACAACATGGGTAGCCCCGAAGAAGCAAGAAAGAAAGTGAAAAGAAGCCCTCCCTGGTGTCACTTCTCCTAGTGGCAACAAGGAGACAGTTAGAGTAGTGTAACTACAAGAATCCTCCCAATGGCATTTCAAAAGTGAATTAAAATAGTTACTCTGGAAGCTGGGGGTACAGCTCATTGGTAAAACCCTAATGAGGATAAGGCCCTGAGTTCAATGACCAACATGAAAAGAGAAGAGAAGAAAACAGGCAGACACAATAGATAAATAAATAAACAAAATGTGGTATATGCATACAGTGGAATACTATTCACCTTAAAAAGAAAATTCTGACATATACAAAACATACATGAATCTTGAGGACATTATGCAAAGTGAAACAAGTCAGTCACAAAAAAATAAATACTACTCACATGAGGTAGTTAGTATAGTCAAAGTTACTGAAATAGAAACTAGAATGATGGCTGTCAGAGACTAGGTGAAGGACTGTTTAATGGGTATAGAGTTTCAGTTATCTAAGACTGAAAGGAAACTAGAAAATAAAACAGAATTGCCCCCCCACTCCAAAAAAAGATGAAGTTCTGGAGATCTGTTGTACAAGTGTGAATGTACTGAACAGTACTGAACAGTAGATTCAAAAATGGTGATAGAGGCCAGGTGTGGGGGTACAAACCTATAATCCCAGGTGCTGAGCAGACGTTGGGAGGATCATGGTTTGAGGCTAGGTCAGGCAAAAAGTTAGCAAGACTCCCATCTCAACAAACAAGCCGAATGTGGTGGCACATGCAGGAGATGTAGGTGGGAGGATTGCAGTCTAAAGCTGTCCCTATGCAGAAACAAAGACCCTATCTGAAAAATAAGTAAAGCAAAAGGGGCTGAGGTGTGGCTCAAGAGGCAGAGTATTTGCCTAGCATTCATGAAGCCCTGAGTTCAAACTCCAATATTACCAAAAACAAAAAAAGATGGTGATGATAGATGGCTGGGCCTGGTGGCGCATTGCTGTGATCCCAGCTACTCAGAAGGCAGAGGCGAGAGGCCAACTCTAGCAAAGTTGGTGAGACCCTATCTCAAAAACAAAATACAAGCAAAGGAACTAGGGGCATGGCTCAAGTGGTAGAGTGATTGGCTAGCATGTGCAAGGCCCTGGTTCAATCCCTAGTACCAAAAAGTAAAAAAAAGATAAATTTGAAGATATGTGTTTTTATAGCAATTAAAAAAAAAGTACTACTCTGGATACAAAAGGAGATTCTTAGAGATAGGCTTCATAGTTATTAAAAAATCAGAGACAACTTCGTCGATGACAAAAATGATAAAAGTAGGCTGGCAAGATAGTAGAGCACCTAGCAAGTGGGAAGCCCTGAGTTCAACCCCCAGTACCACCAAAAACTTCCCCAAAAATGTGGTGGCCCCCTAGGCTGAGGAGGCCAGTCATGGTGATTCTGTGGCTCTGGCTTGTAATTCAGAAAGCCCAGAAAACAGTGTCAGTTCAGTGCCTTTGAATGACATGTAAATGAGGGACACTATCTAATCCTGCCCCACTGCTCCCTGAGGATTTGTTTGTTTCAGAGCTTCCCTCTTCATTTCCTCTGGATTCTATGCTTCTCCTCTCGGAGCTGCCTTAAGACCAATGGGTCCTCAATCCTTATCTCTCAGTAATTCTGTCAAGTCAGCTGCATACCCCTTGCTACCTAAGGGCCCCTTTGCTGGTCTGACTGGTCTGTTACACCTTGATTCCTGGCTTATCTTCTGCTTACACTCCTAGCCTGTGGGGTCAAAAGTTCAGAGTCACTGCCATGAGAGAAGCAGAGTAACCTGGCAGGGGAAGGGATCCAGTCCAGAAGACTACAGGTTGCCCCTCAGAGCAGCCAGCTCTAACCACATAGCAAAGGGGACATCATTCCTAGATGTGCCAGGCCTTGTACTGGAAGCTCCTGTACTCTTTACTCCACAAGGTACCACCCTGTGAGGTGCCCATTATCCCATTTGACAGCTAGGAACTGAAGCCTCACAAAGAACCCATGAAGAGCTGAGCAGATGTCTTACTCGCCCATCCCCCCAATCCCACATGCTACAACAGATGTGTGTCTGTGCCCCATCAAAATCCCCCACTAGCACTCACAACTTCGGTAAACTCCAGCTCAACTTCCAAATGCCAGCACCTGTGTTTCTTTGCCAACGGAATTTCCCCAGCCACTGAGACCTGCGTTGCAGAACTCTGACAGGCCTGATGTGCCAGGACATTGATACCTCCAGGCGCTGCCTCCATCAATGACAATGGTGCATCACCCTGCCTCCTGCTTCCGTGGGACACCTCTGAAGAGGGTGTTTAGAACCAGCACCTGGCACTCCCAGGAAGATTAAGCTCTGTCTGTTCACAGTGGTACCCAGGGGCGGATAGTCTCTCTCTTTAGAGCCTTCCCAATCTGCCTGTCTTCTCCATCCCCTACCAGCGCTTCTTTCACCCCTACATAATGAACTTGCACTCAAGTCCTTGTCTCAGGAACTGCATCTTGAGGAAACCAAACCAAGATGCTTAATCTGTCTTTTTTTAAGTGGTAAATCATCCCACACCCAAGTAGTTATGCCTCTTCATTGCTCTTACTTGATGTCCCAAATGTAGATGTAGGTGTCTACAGAGCTGGTGACCAGGAGATCTGGTTCGAATACTGCCCAGTCCAAGTCGCTGGGAGAGAAGGAATAAATAGGACAACAAAGGAAAAAAAGTTTCAATGTCTGGTTCCCAAGCACCAACAAATTTAGTCTTTAGTGGTTTTAGTATGTACTCAATGAGCTTCTTCAGAGGGTTCAGGCTGGGAGCTCTTTAGGAATGAACAAGAGTTAACTGAGCTCAGAAGGAAACTTCTGGGTCCTTCTTGTAGTTGCCAGCTATACTATCACCTGCTTCCAAAAAAGAAATGGAACATTTCAACTTAAAACATACACTCTCTTTCCCTCCCTTTCTCCCTCTTCCAACAGAGAAAAACAAAGGAAAAACGCATAATCTTTGAGTTACCATTTCCTAAATCAGATTCAACCACAGATACCTCACGTAACCGCAGCAAAGGGTCATGTTGCCACACAACTTTCCAGGAGGGTTGGCAGCTCTGTTCCTTCCTACTCATACTTTCAGTCCTAGCAAGACAGTTAACTCTATAGGATATTTCACAATACCCAGGGATTCAACCTTTCCCGTCACTCCTAGGTCATCTTTACCTGCCCTGCACTCTGGGTTAGTACTCCCTAGAAAACATTTTTCCAAACCAGAAACAGTGACCCAGACGAAGAGTGGATCAACAAATACTCTGGGATGTAGTGCAGTGGTATAGCACTTGCCTAGCATGTGCGAGGCCCTGGGTTCCATTTCTAGCGTTGCCAAAAAAAAATAACACTCTAGAAGACCCTGTAAAGGAGACAACTGTGCATGTGGATAGTAGACTATGATGCAAGAGCTGCTCAGAAAGAAAGAGTCCAAATGGTCACCTGCTGCTCACTAACGTCTCCTTGCAACCCTGGCCACTGAGGATCCTGAACTGGGGGATTTTATTGCATAACTTTCTCTCCTTTCTTGGCAAGAAGGAGCCTTAATCCTTTACTCTGGACTGGGATATATCTGAGTCTTCTGGGATGAGGGTCAACAGCTTCCTGGGTTGCACTTCCTAAATACTGGCTGTCCTTTACTAGGTTCTTTGCCAGCACCTTTGTAAACACTAAGGACCAAAGGGTTAAGCCATGTGAGAAGGGTGACATCTTCATTTCACTAATCAAAGGACTATGACAAAACGACACAATCCAAGTAGGTGGGGAGGGCTGATGCCTACCTGATTACACGAGTATGACCCTGTAAGGTCGTGCCAACTTCCCCACTGCCATCTTTCCACTTATAAAGGTCGACGCGTTGGTTACTCTGAAAAGAGACAAAGGCAAGAAGACAGTAGGTACCATAACACGTACACTGAAATATATGCTGTCACCCAAAAGCCAATTTGTAAGACAGATCCTACAGTTTAAACTCTTTAAAAAGCCATTCGAAATCATATCATTACCACTGGCTTAAGCTGTCCTTAGCCCATACACAGGGTTATGAATTTCAAAATGATATGGCAGCTGGCGGAGTGGCTCAAGTGGTAGAGCACCTACCTAGCAAGTGAGAGGCGCTACGAAAAAAGAAAGGGCAGTGCTATCCTAAAATGAATCCATCCTGAACAGTCACAGCTGACCTGAAGCAACAGATGCACTAATGAGCAGGTGTTTCATGGGCTACAGAGATGTTCCTAACCTCTAGAGTAAGCTCCTCCTCTCTGGAGGTCACACACTCAATTCTCCAGGTACTATCGCATTGGAAGTTTTCAGCTCCAGAGACTGACCACCCACCACACTTTAAAAACACATACGCCAAAGAAAGAAAAAAGGAATACCACCAAAAGTGCATCTAAGAAGGAAAAATGATACAAGCCTCCTTGAAATATGCCTGTATCAAATTTCTTAAAAGGTTAAGCAGAAAGACAGGGAAAATGGACCAGAAGAAACCGTAAGTGCAACAGAAAAAAGGAAGTAAAAATAAAGGTTCCATCAAAGCACATTTCACTTAACAACAACAAAACAGCTCTCTAAATATTGTGAGTTTATAAGATAAACTGGAAGTGCATAAAGATAACCAGTAAACTGAGAACAATGATAAGGCATTTAATAATTTCTGAACTGACACTTATATATAAATAGACTGATTTTCATTTTAGTTCAGATAGATGTATAAGATGCTAAGATTTAGCATCCTGAGATGCCAGTTTCAAAAATCTAAATAGGTAAGATTCTTTTGAAAAGGCAAAGATTCAAAATAACTTCCAATAGGAACAGAATCATTTAAAAAAAAAAAAAAAAAGTCTTCCTCATCTTACTCTAACATTCCCTACCATTACCAGAGGGTCAGCTGTGCCAGTCTACATATGAGACACCTAATGAACCTGACCTCAGTCTTTCCCACCACCCTGCACAGTGAATGTCATCACCCACATTTTAGATGAGGCAACTAAAATTGAGTGGCTTGCTCAAGGTAAAAAGAGTGAGTGTCCAAACTAGAACTTGACCTCAGGGTTGCCTAACTCTAAAAGTTCTTTCCCCTGTGAAACTCTGCCTTTGAACTAAGAACAAGAGAAAAAATTAGATATATCAAACTTGCTCAAAATTAAAACTTCTGTAAATCAAAGGACATTATCAAGAAAGTAGAAAGACAACCACTAGAACTGGAAAAAATACTTGCAAATCATATACCTGATAAAATCTAGTATACAGAACACATAAGAGAATTCTTGGGCTAGCGGAGTGGTTTGGTGGCAAAGTGCTTGCCTAGCATGCATAAGGCCCATGGTTCAATCCCCAACATCACCAAAAAAATGAAGGGCAAAGGACCTACATAGACATTTCTCCAAAAAAAGACATATAAATGGCCAATAGAAACATGAAAAGATGCTCAACATCACTAAGTCATTAGAGAAATACAAATAAATACCAAAATAGTATACCATCTCATACCCATTAGAAATGACTGTAATTTAAATGTATTTAAAAGAGAGAGAGAACTTTCTCAAAAGAAGAAATTCAAATGGCAAAAAAACACATGAAAAAATGCTCACCATCTCTAGCAATAAAGGAAATGCAAATTAAAACCACAATAAGATTCCACCTCACCCCTGTGAGAATAGCCATCATCAGCAACACCACCACCAACAGGTGCTGGCGAGGATACGGGGAAAAAGGAACTCTCTTACACTGTTGGTAGGAATGTAGACTAGTACAACCATTCTAGAAAAAAATCTGGAGGCTACTTAAAAAGCTGGACATCGATCTACCATTTGATCCAGCAATACCACTCTTGGGGATATACCCAAAAGACTGTTACTCCAGAGGCACCTGCACATCCATGTTTATTGCGGCACTATTCACAATAGCCAAGTTATGGAAACAGCCAAGATGCCCCAGCACTGACGAATGGATTAAGAAAATGTGGTATCTATACACAATGGAATTTTATGCAGCCATGAAGAAGAACGAAATGTTATCATTCGCTGGTAAATGGATGGAATTGGAGAACATCATTCTGAGTGAGATTAGCCTGGTCCAAAAGACCAAAAATCATATGTTCTCCCTCATATGTGGACATTAGATCAAGGGCAAACACAACAAGGGGATTGGACTTTGAGCACATGATAAAAGCGAAAGCACACAAGGGAGGGGTGAGGATAGGTAAGACACCTAAAAAATTAGCTAGCATTTGTTGCCCTTAACGCAGAGAAACTAAAGCAGATACCTTAAAAGCAACTGAGGCCAATAGGAAAAGGGGACCAGGAACTAAAGAAAAGGTGAGATCAAAAAGAATTAACCTAGAAGATAACACACATGCATAGGAAATTAATGTGAGTCAACTCACTGTATAGCTATCCTTATTGCAACCAGCAAAAACCCTTGTTCCCTCCTATTATTGCTTATACTCTCTCTACAACAAAATTAGAAATAAGGGCAAAATAGTTTCTGCTGGGTATGAGGGGGTGGGGGGGAGAGGGAGGGGGCGGAGTGGGTGGTAAGGGAGGGGGTGGGGGCAGGGGGGAGAAATGACCCAAGCCTTGTATGCACATATGAATAATAAAAGAAAAATAAAATAAAATAAAAGACAGAGAGAGAGAGAGAAAAAAAACAGCAAATGTAGAAAAACTAGAACCTTCCTGCTAGCTACTGTGGAAAAGTTTAGTGTTCCCTCAAAAAGTTAAACACGGAGTGCAATTCCACTCCTACATATATATCCAGAAAAAGTGAAAACAACCACACACATGTTCACCTCAGCACTATTCACAAGTCAGCCAAAATGTCCACTGATTAACAGATATTAAATATGCAAACTACAGCATACGCATATAATGGAATATTACTTCTTCCAGCCCCGTACAAAGAAAGCAAAAGGTTTAGCTCTCTAGTTCTAGAAAAAAGAATTGTGCCATAGAATCTGGAGAAAGATACAGAGATGACCTAGCCCCAAATCTTTTGGGTCACTGTCAGAAAACCAAATAAAACTTATATATGTTTTCCCCGGAAAAAGTCACACAAACAGGCACTTAAAATTTGAGAAAACTAACCAATCTAATAAATCCCAATCAAGGAAGACTCCCTTCCTCTGAGTGGAAGGGTGGAGGGAGGCTCCTGCTCCCTCTGAAAGCAATGAAGACTAGGCCTAGACCAGCTCTCCAATTACCTCCCTTAATATCTTTCAGGGACATCTGCCATTCAGCCCCTGGGTAATTACAATGCTAATGAAAATGAGTTCCTACCAAGCTCAGGAATCTGGATTTAGTCCCTAGAAATACAAGGCCTGACACTGATGGGATTTACCTATCTACTAGATGGATTAGATAGATAGACCGATAGATAGATAATATAACTTTTTAATCTGAAACTTGCTTCTGTCTTTCTCACAGAACCATCCAAACTCTTTTCTGACTGAGCAATGAGAACAGCATCTTCTTTACACAGGGCACAGACCTGCCAGCCCTCAACAACACATTTAAAAGATGACACTCCTTAAATGAACTCACCGAAGCTGCAAAATAATGCGCGAAACTGTCATGTGGATTCCACTGCACAGCTCCAATGTCCCATTTGCTCTGGCGAGAGATTTTCCGGTGACCTTCGAAAGGAGCGTCTAGATTGACGATGTATAAGAATCTGCGGCTAAAACGACACCAACATTATAGCAATACAGCAACACAACAGCATTAGCATTAAGACAGAAAGGTTCATTTGGAATTGTATAATTTGCAAGCAATGCTCCAAAACCTCAGCTACACATGACATTTATCTACTCTGAAAGGCACACAGTGACGAAGTAACTCAAGTTGGCAGTTAAAGCAAAGGAGAGCAGTATCCATCCCTGTGAGAGTCTATCTCCAGAGCTGACCTTCCCTACCACATCCATGCATGAAAGCTGCTCTGCTTCCCCCAAATTCAGCTCCAACTTACCCCCTCCTACCCTTTCCCAACACCCCAGTTCAGAACAGTTACTGTTTCCACTTCACTCCCATTGCACAGTCTGCATTCCAACTGCTGCACCCATCTCTACAGCAGGACTACTACTGTTAAGGCTTTTGTCTCAGTCCACTGAGTGTCTACAGTATGGATGGTGTTGTGAATCTCTGTCAACCCCACATCACCAGGCATGGTGCTCTACACTCAATAAATATGCATTCAATTAAACACATCGCTTAACACTGAGCCAAAATCCTGCAGAAAAACCTCAAATTCCTCTGCAAGTCTACTATCTGGAAACTAAATCTACCAGGAAGGAAAATAATAACCTAAGAAAAAGGAATAATAATTAAAATAACATAGTAAGTAGACCAATAATGTTTAAGGTGCCAATGAATGTAAAGAAAATAAGGACCTGCCCTGTGTTCACTTATTTTCCCTTTATTTTAAGCTAAAAGAAAAGCCTAGTATGTGAGTCAACATCCCTAAGCCATTTGGTATTGACTCTTCATTCAGCATTCTAAGTCTCTGGATATCAATGAGGTCTGATAGGCTCAAAAATAAAAGCAGTACTAGTCCCTGTGCAGAGAAGTTAGGAGATGGCACATGAAAGTCTAGATTGTAGCAGACACTCTAAAGAGAGACGGTTAAGAAAAAGAAGACACAGTTTCACAGAACTTCCAGAACATCTAAGAAAGTTAACACAGAACAAAAATCTAAAACTTCTGGCCTCCTCCAAAGGAATCACGTGATCCTATAATGAGCAGGCTGGCATCTTCCCATTAGACGGAAAAACAGTACGGAGCTAAGAGTTATATATATGAGGTATGCATCATAGGGGAGTTCAGAGACATCATGGAGAAAACACAGAACAGCAGAAAGCAGGCACTTTAGGATGAACATGGCTGATTGAACATATGTATTTATATTCACCCCCTCCAGAACCCCACTAAAATAAAAGTTTAAAAAAAAAAAAGCAGAAACTCACAAAAGCAAAGAAATGAGAGAGGAAATGAAAAGCAGATGGACAAATGGTAATTGATCTAGAGTAAAGAAAGCTAAATAAAACCCGAGTGCTGGAAGAGACCGAGAAGCAAGCTGATTCACACTGTGGGACCTGGCAGCGCCTGCTCAAAGAAGGCTAAGAGGCTGGAAGACAAAAAACAGAACAAAACAAAACAATACAGGGGTTGTGTGAAAGAGGCTAAGGAAAGTGGTTTATGTGTCCGCCCCCCCCAACCAGGTGGCCACCTCTCCTTCACCCCCAGTGTCAGTTGGGTACTGTTATCTCCTAGAGAAACCCTGGACCTGGCACAAGCAGCACAGCATAGGGTAAGTTTAAAGTGCTGTCCTTAAAATTGGCCCATGTGAGGCCTTCAGGCCTCTTTCCTTACCAAGCACTCACAACACTGCCCTTTCTTCAGAGACGTCTTAGGTAAAAATGAGCAAACACACAACAACGAAGTCTGGAGATTTATGACATCTGGTGGATGTCATTAGTGGATACTAATGAGAAAGCCTGGTTTCCACCTGATCTTCTGGCAGTGAATCCCATCACCCATCCATGTAAACAGAAACAAACACAATCAAGAGGGAAAAAAGAAACAAAGGAAACAGGGATAATGCAGTAGAAAGAAAAACGTTGGAATCAGTACTCGCAGAGAGCTAAGAGAAAAGGCAATGTTAAAAACAGAAAACAAAATAATAATTCAAATTTTTAAAAATCTTGAAAGTTTCTGAAAACTAAAATAATAGTTGATATTTAAGAGAATCTAATAGAATAGAAAGTGAAAGTTGAAAACTTCCAGAATATTAAAAAAAAAAAAAAAAAAAGGAAGGAAGTCCTTCCATATGGGAAATCTGACACTGACTAATGGACTCCAGCAGGGCATGGGAGTGCAAGATTGTAACCCCAGCCCTTCGAACGTGGCAAGAGTTCCAGATCAAGGCCAGCCTGAGCTACACAACAAGTTCAAAGGGCTGTGGGCATGCCTCAGTGGTAGGGTGGCTTCCTAGCAAGCACAAAGCCCTGAGTTCAAACCTCGATACTGCCAAAAAAAAAAGTGATGGGGGAGAATTAAGAAAGAATGAGAGGGGGTGGGGGGGGAAGGGGGAGAAATGACCCAAACAATGTATGCACATATGAATAAAATAAAAATAAAAAAAAAAAGACAGAAAGAATGAGAGAAACTGGAGGGAAGAGTATGATCAAAGGCAAAAACTATCCAAACTAAAAGATTCACTTCCAGACTGGAAGGGCCTTCCAAGGTGCTAAAAAATATTCTGTATCTTAATTTGAACGGTCACTTCCTAAGTGTATATGTTGGTAAATTTATTTGAGCTATTCACATCAGGTTAACACACTCTATACATTTTTATTACACATATTTTAAATTTCATATAAAAAATGAAATGGAACTCTTCAGATTTGTGCTGAAAATAGTATCAATGCAGACATACCTAAGAGCACACTAACATGAACATGTGCATGACTTCCATTTCTCCTGGAATGCTATGATCGCATCCCCACGCCAGTGAACACTGGGAAATCTAACAGGTAAGCCTCAGTTCCTGCAAGGCTTCTAAGAGTATTTTATGATGCCAAGTGTACGCTATGCCTCCATTGTTTAGATAAAACAATAATATAAAAAGGGGGCCAGAAGGCCCTGAATGCCCACAGGCCAAAGCAATCACGTTGAAAATTTCACAAACTCTAAAATAAAGATGGGATTTTAAAGCTTCCAAGTTAAAAGACAGGACACATAAAGAGTCCTTTTTAGCCAGGTGCTGGTAACTCATGCCTACAATCCTAGCCACTCAGGATGCAGAGATCAGGAGGATCGCAGTTCAAAGCCAGCCCAGAGAAACAGTTTGCAAGACCCTATGAAAAAACCCATTACAAAAAAGGGCTGGTGGAGTGGCTCAAGATAGAGACCCTGAGTTCAAACCCCAATACCGTGGACTAAATCAGAATGGAACAAAACCTCTCCATAATAACTCAGAAAAAGAATCTCAAATACTGATTCAACCTAACAACTGTTATATAACTATACTGGTTCAGAGACGCCAGGTGGATGTGTAAGGACCTACAGAGTGCAATAAAAGGCCAGAGCCTAATCTTCTGTTATAAGAAGTCCATTTGTATCAAAAGGGATAAATCTAGATCTCACAGTTTATGTGTACTATTTGGAAAAATGGAAGCAATCAAAAGGCAGAGCGGAAACAGTTTAAAGTACATGTTCCTGGCAACTGGGATCAGAGGTGGGGAAAAGCAAGGTAGAGACAGCTGTTCTACAATGAAACCCTTGCAGTGCTACTTGACTTTCTAAACTATGTACAGGTATTTCCTTGGTTTTAAAAAAATGCTATGAAGAGTAGGAAATTAATGATAATATATCAGAAACCACTGAAATTACTAAATTGTATGATATGTTAATGATACCTCAATAAAGCTTTCTTTGTTTTCTTTTGTTTTGGGAGTAGGGGAATTTGAACTTAGGGCTTCATGCTTGCTAGGCAGATACTTGACTACCTGAGTCACTCTGCTAGCCATTTTTTTTAAGTGACCAGGAATCTAGAACCAGAGAAATACCAATTATTTCCTAATCTATGAGTCCAATATGACACAAGAAAATAATAGTAATGTCTCTGGGGAGGTCATCATAGGTAGTCATAGATGTACTTTTCATTGTGTATTTTTTGAACTATTTAAATGTTTGTCATGCAATGTACTTTTTAAATTTACTAATTATGGTATTGGGAATTGAACCTAGGGGCCTCATGCTTGCTAGGCAAGCTACCACTTGAGCTATAACCCCTAGCCACACATTCTTTTTTCATTTTTGGCAGTATTGGGGTGCTTTTTTAAAAAGGTAAATTATAACACAATTTCAAAATAAAATAAATAAGCTAATAAAAAATAAAATACTTTCATTGATTTGTAAATGGATTCAATAAATCCTACTACCATAATCTGTAAAGATATTTTCTAATTTCCCAGAAACTTGATTTGCAATTTGTTCCCCAGAAATTGTGATGGACAAACTCTGAAAGCTCACTTACCCAGAAAGCACTGCATGCTGCCCGAGACAGTCCACAGACATTGCAGTTGCCTGTGAGAGAGAACACAGATTCAGTCCTGCCTGAAAACTCAGCCAGGGAGGAGAAGACAGACCTCCTTTTGGCTCTTCCTTTGCCCATCTCCCAGGCAGAACCCAGGTAGCAAGTATCATTAGTTCTCTGCAGTGAATACATTTCCCCCTCTAGTTCCTACCCAAATCTCACATTCACTTTTGACAACAGGGCAGGTGCCAAGCTGTGGAGACATCAGGGAATCTGACTAGCTCAGAGCACCCAGCCTCTACTGTGCACAAAGAGCCTCTTCCAGGAGAAGCCTAACTGGGACACGGGGACGGACACACACACACACACACACACACACACACACACACACACACCACCCTTGCCTTTCCAAAGGGCCTGGAACCCTCCTCAAGCCATAGAGCAGTTGGCATTATTTTAACACCATCCCCCCTGAATCCAAGGTCACATTCTTGTTACTAAGACTCCCTGTTTACATTCAGTCTGAAATTTTTAGCACATTTTACTGGTTTCCATCTCCTAGGTCTCCCAATTACTAGTAAATACCACCATTTCAGGATTTAATGCCTAATTTCACAATGACTCCACTACATACAATGAAGGCTGAAACAGTAGGCTTATTTTAATCCTGGCAGTTACAGCCCTACAATCTCTTATTTTTTTGCTATTGTTTGGTTATTAAATATCTATGTTCTTTCCAAGAGACTATCAAGGGAAAATTCATTTTGTATACACTGCCACAATGAAGAATCACAAATGGTAAACAAAACTCTCTCACTCTCACTGGCTTCATTAATGGGTTTCTGACACTTGTCTACCCTCAAGAAACATGTCCCAGGTAATACTGGGGACAAGAAGCCAGAGTTCTCTCACTGAAGGCTGAAAAGTGATTAATATCCATCCTTCATATTGCCCATGAGTAGAGAAAAGCCCAGCTGGAAAGGCAGGTCATGAAATGAGATGCCAGTTCCAGAACACTTCTGTGCAATTTATAGATTGTTATGAAAGAGGGCAAGATGGCTCCTCCAACAAGGGGCAGTATAGTCTTTCTAGAGGGAATGTGGTAGTCAGAATCCTAAGACAGCCCCCAAGATTCTGAGCCTTTGGTATACATATAGCTTCTCCTTGCTATTCAGCAGTAATAAAATACTAATGTAGATACTGCTGTGAAAGAATTTTATTGATGTGATTAAGGTCCCAAATCAGTTGATCTTCAGTCAGAGAAACCTGAAACAACCCAATGTCCATCAATGAATGAGTGGGGGATAAACAAAATGTGGGAGAGATATACAGTGGAATATTATTCAGCCTTAAAAAGCAAGGAAATTCCGATGCATACTACAATGTGGATGAACCTTAAAACGTTATGCAAAGTGAAACACACCAGACAAACAAGATAAATACTGTATGACTCCACCTAAAGCAGGCAAGTTCAAAAAAATAAGAGGTTGCCAGGGGCTAGGAAACAGGAGCAGAGAATGGGGAGTTATTGTTTGATGGGTACAGGCTTTCAATTTGGGAGGATGAAAAGCTCTGAGGGGGAGGGAAAGATTGAGAGACCTAGCTTCATCAGCCATTTAAATCTGTAAGGGTAAATCTAGGTGGGAAGGTAAGGGACCCAACCTGAAGAAGATTCCCCACTGCTAGCTGTGAAAGTGGAAGTGGTCACATGGTGAGAACTTAGAGTGGCCTCTAGGAACTGAGAGCAGCCCCTAATAACAACCAGCAAGAAAATAGCAATCCCTTCCTATCCCCTAGCAACTGGACATTGCCAACAACCTGAATGAGAATGAAAGTGGATTCTTCCTAAGTGAAGCTGGTGAGAACACAGCTGGCTGTTGCCTTCATTTCAGCCTGAAAGACAAAGAAAACAGCTATGCGGTGCCTGGACTCTGGACCTACAGAACTGTGAATTAATAAATGGGTGCTGTTTTAAGCTGGTAAATTTGTGGTGTATTCTAACAGAATACTAAGAGAGTGTGATTTGACTCAGTAATTCCACCTTGAGAACCTATCCAAAATACAGCAAATGTTTTATGAGCAAAGCTGTGTACTTCAAGTTATTTACAAATAAATTATACATGTCTATACAATGGAATATTCCAGATCAGTTTTTTGTTTTTTGTTTTGGTGGTACTGAGGTTTCTCAGGGCCTCACACTTGCTAAGCACTTGCTAAGCACACTTGACCCACTCCACCAGCCCTTTTTGTGAAAGGGTTTTCAAGATAGGGTCTTGCAAACTGTTTGCCTGTACTGGCCTTGAACCTCAATCCTCCTGATCTCTACCTCCTGAGTAGCTAGGATCACAGGTGTGAGCCACTGCACCTGGCTCCAAATCATTTTTAAATGGAATGAAAAATGCATCAGTCAAAATTGCAAATAGATTATCATAACTCACCATATCAGAAGTTATTTTATTTAATTTTTTTGATGGTATTGGGGATTGAACTCAGGGCCCTTTGCTTGCTAGGGAAATGCTCTACCATTGGAGCCACATCCCCCAATCCAGAAGAAGTTATCTAAAAAAAAAGAAAAACCACTACAACAGCACCATCTAACTTATTTTCCCCAACCCTACCTTGTCCTGTGTATGCAGGAGCACATTAAGGAGGGTTATGCTCAGCTGTTCACACAGGCATCAAGAGAGGGAAGTGCTTTGAGCAGACAAGTAAAACCTATCCCACCAGAGAAAAAAAGGTTGTAATCTGTGGACTGGAGTCTAAACCCACAGCCTCCCCACTCTCAGGGTACCAAATAGGGAATGGCTGAGAGATGCTAAGAGGTTAAGAACAATGGGATGTGGGATTCTTATTTGATCCCACTGCAAGAGAGGAAGGGAATGTGTACAGTAACAGAGAGCACTTCCTACCAGCCTGTAAGAATGGGCTTGCTGTGGATTACAAACAGGCTAGAGTAGTAAATGAAAGTGGTATTTTATGTCCTACTGTGAACTAAAATCTAAATTGGTTACTTATATTTTACAGTTCTAAGAATAACACTAAAGAAAGTACATCAAAGTGTTTAAAAGATACTTGTTCCTGGATCTGTCAACTAGTTTGGTTCAATTATTCCACATGTATTCACAAATTGTAATTATCACTTTGTATTCCATAAATATAACTATATCAATCTATAATAAAATTTTAAAAGTGGTTGTTCCTAGAGGAATTTTATTTTGTTCTTTTAAATGAGCCCACATTTTTGTATTATGTATATATTTATATTACTTTATAGTAATAGAACACTTTTTTTCAAAGGCATCCCAAGTCTCTTCTACCCAGCCTACTCTCCTGGCCTAGGCCCTCACTGCCTGTGGCCTGATCTATAGCAACAGTCATCCTCTCTCTACCATCTCTCTTCCTTTTCCAGTATACTTAATGCTAAACCTTCTAAACACAGAGTGGTGTGTGTATCAATTCATTGCTTAAAAAAAAAAACTATGCTATGTTTTCACTTTGATTAGAATCAGCTGGAAGTACCTCAGTGTTCAAACTCTCCCTAGTTAGATGCCTACAGGGTTGAACTCATGGCCTTCACTTGCTAGGCAGGCCCTCCTCTGCTCGAGCCACAGCCTTCAGCCCCTAGCTGCTCAGTCTTATCCCTCTGTCTGCTCAAGCCAGGCCAAGCACAGCACCTACCTTTCTTGAAGGTCAGCTGAAGTTCCACCCATCTTTAAAATCCTAAGGCAAACCTCTCTTAAGCCTCTAGAGTCCTCTCAGCAGAGTTCCCCTCTCCCTAAACACTTTTCCTGCCCCTCTGTTACCTGTTGTGGTATTCCTGCTGGACACATTTCTCTTCTCCTGCCAGCTGTGAGCCTCCAAATGGCAGGGTCTACGTTGTTTCTCCCAGATCTCCCACCAAGGTGCTCTATTAACACCTATGGTACTGAGGCCAGCAGGTCAGAACCAGATCCTTTCAGCTTAGCGTGTACTGAGGTGCTCCTTGACAATAGTTTTCTTAAAAATCCTCTTGATGATTTATCGCCCATGAATTTATTACTCCTTCAGTTCCTTCAGTACTTTAATACCTTCTAGGATAATAAACTCTGATAGCTCACTGCCTACTGTGTCTTCTATTAGAAGAGAGAAATGTGAAGAACAACATATTGTGTCCTTTACCCACACCTTCATAATGTAAAATTTCAATCAGTCCTCTACCTTTGTTTTTCAGAATTGAAAGGTCCTCTCCCACCTCTAGGAAAACACTTACTCAGGACTGCTCTCTGTCAAGAGATATTACCTAACAGAGGAGAATGTTTTTAAGTGCCCTTGTTCCTTCAACTGCAGGAGGGACACTGGCTTTCTGATCTTAAGGAATCATAAGCCCTTTATTAAATGAGAAGTAATGGTGATTTTTATTCTCATGAGCTTGAAGAAAAATAAAATAAATAATTAATTATTATTATTAAAAATATAATCAGCTACCTGATGACTAAGGAAGAGTATCAAGTCCATGAGATTCTGTAAGCCTCCATATACAAATAACTGCTGTCTTTACTGAAAAAGTCATTTCTTCAAGAATCAACCTCCAAGCTGGCATAAATGGCTCACACCTGTAATACTAGCTACTTGGGAGGTTGAGATCAGGACTGTGGTTCAAGGACAATCCAGGCAAATAGTTTGTGAGACCCCATCTCCAAAACAACCATAGCGAAACAGACTGGAGGTGTGGCTCAATTGGTAGAGCACCTGCTTTGCAAGCAAATCGTCCTGAGTTCAAACCCCAGTCTCACAAAAAAAAAAAAAAAGCCAACCTCTTAGCTGGGCATGGTAGTATATCCCTGTAACCCCAGCTACTTGGGCAAAGGCAGGATGATCCTGAATTCAAGGCCATCCCAGGCAAAGCTGGCAAGACCCTATTTCAAAATATAAATACAAAAGGATTGGGGACATGGCTCAAGTGATAAAGGCTTGCTTAGCAAGCCCTGAGTTCAATTCCTAGTAATGAGGAAAAAAAAAAAAAAAGAAAAGCACCAGCCTCCAAAGCAGCTATATTCTTGAGGATTAGGTT